AAATTACCAAAGGCAATGAACTTGGTAACCATCTAAAAATATTCAAAGGATATAAATCATGGTTAGAGGAACTATTTAATGGTGCAAAAGGGTATAACTAGGACTAATGAGATAAAAATTACAAAAAGGATTATTTAAATTCATTTTCAGGAAAAACTTTCTAATAGTGAATTCAAATAAGACTCTAGAACAATCTCCCAGGGGAAGCAGTAGAAGCCTCAGGCTTAGAAAGATTTGAGTAGGTTGAAGCACCCCCACCCCTAACACTAAAAAATATATTCTAGGAAATAATTCTGCACTGTTAACATAATACTCTACTCGCACTACTTTTTCCTTTTGTCTACTAATCTTTATTACTAGGATTTGATAAGTCTACTGTGAACTTTGAAACACACTGAAGTTGAGATTAAACAGTTCTCAGGAAGCCCACCCACAATGTGTATTACCCTGCTCAGCAATAATCCACTCTGGTGTATCTTCCCATCCCTGTCATGATGATCCTTTGAACAGAATTGCCTGTTAAGCACAATTTTACTCAACGGGTGATGCAGTATTTGTAACAACAACCCCATCTCTTTTCAGATGTACCTCATACTTTTACATCAGTTTGTGGAGAGGCCAAAAATAAATGTGCCAGTAGTTGATTCTGAGAATGGAGGCAATAACTTCAGCTCTCAGATTGGCACAGGGATGGTTGTTGTTCTTAAGAAATTTTCTATTATGTATATTTTCAAAAATCAGGATTCCTAACTGTGTGGCCACTTAAGAGATTGTATCACTACAAAAAAATTACTTGAGGGCCTTTTCAATATGGAATATAGTCTGCCTTGGGTATCTCCAGCTCGTGATCAACCCATGAAGTATGTTTGTTGTAGAAAATCTCTAAAACTAATCAACAGGTGTCTGTGGGAAAAGTTCCATTTCTTACCTCAGATTAAACTGTGTGGTAACTGTACCCTCAGACTCCAGTCACAGCAGACAGAATGTTTGCTCCAAGCCCCCTGGGCTGGCCTTGGTTCTAAATTTTTCTACCTAGTGCACAGAGTGTAGCAACACCTCTCATGGCCTGCTCCCTTCCCAGCTCTGCTGGAGGTGCTGTAACTGGAACTCAAGAAGGCAACTTCAGCATCAACCAGGCCAAAACCTGCAAGTTCTCCTTCATCACCACAGCCATCCCCTCCCCATGGGCACCATTCTGTGATTTTTTTGTACACACACATGTATATGTATGCAACATACATATGTGTGTTTTGCATCTGTGTCTGGTCCGGAACCCTTCAACATCCTGCATTAATTCTCTTTCTTGTTCATTGTGACAGTGTCAGTTCTGGCACGGAAATAGAAAATGTTTCCATTTTCCTACTGTTTGACACTGACATTTTTATGTCTTTCTTTTCTACAAGATCAAATTTCTACTTTTTTCACATCACTGTAAACCTTAACTCTTTCTGTTACTCATGCAGTATTCTCTTCTACTTTCCTGTTCACTCTTCCTTAGATAACAATTTGGTTTTCTAATGAAACTGACTGTGGTTGATCCGTTCCACATTCTAAAGAGCATGCCCAGCTAAAACAACCGTCCACCTTTTCCTCTACTGCACGTGAAGCAGTTTGTAGACAAAGATTTGTTGCCAATTTCAGTACAGGTTAGAAATGTCATTGTAGTCACAGACTTGGTCAGGGTTGTCTGATCAAGTCTTTTGTACGTGTTTAAATATTTAGGGGAGGCAGGAGTAGAAAAAAAAGACATTGTAATTTTCATAACTTTTTGCTCCCCGCCCCCCAAGTATATCCTGAAACTTTCAGCCAAAAATAGTTTTATGGTTTAGTACACCAAAGGACACCTGAAAGCGGGGAAGTTTATACCCAGCTGGGAAGTTAAATGACTCTGAAAACCCAAAACTGTATCCAGATTTATACAAAAGGAATAGGTAGGGCTGCAGAAAAGCATTTTACTCCCATGAAGTTTTCTGGGTGTCTGAAGTATGAGGATGGAATACCATTGTAAAATCTTTGTTCCCTATTTGGGGACAGCTTCTCTTTGCACTTGGCAAGCTTTGTGCACGTTGCCCAGGGAAAGCAGTACTCCTTTATTGTACAACGTACTTAACTGGAAAAAAAATTCTGCTGCTTCTTCGTTCTCAGCACAGACATAGTGACAATACATGGGCGTATTGCTTCAACAGCTGATGAATGCACAACTTCCCCATGAGCTAGTACTGAAAATAAGAATGAGGGCTTTTCCTGTACTCGGTTTCGCACATTTGCAGTGCTTCATGCTGCTGAGTGTGTTTCTTTATAGGCAGTAACTAAGGAAGCACCAGCCCAGAGCTCTCCGCTGTAACCATTGTGTCTTTCCCTCTGCACGTGTTTGGAGTGCTCCACCACAGAGGGCTGACAGCAGAGCTGCAGGAGAATTATTGAATTTTGGTTCACCACCAGGCTCTTTAACAGGGCTGTTCCAAAGGATGCTAGCAGCACTGTTCCTGTTCCAGCAGAGACACGGAAACCATAATGAGAAAACCACTGGCAATACCTACTCCAAAGGCAGTAAAGCGCCTCTAGGGAGAAAGGGTAGATGCTCTGGTGCCTGCCTTTTCGTCACCAGGAATGAAGGTATGAACGTACAAAACTTCCTGGGTTCATTTTATTATGCTAAGTTTCAATAATGAGGGCTACAGTTGTTTATTACTTTAAACCCCTATTTTAGACAGAGGCTTATGAAATTAAAGCCCTTGTGTCCCTTTCATTTTTCCACTGTTCAAGTGTTGTGCATTTTTAATTTATGACCGTGTCTTTTTCAGAGAAAACCAAACCAAAAAGAATATACCAGGCTTGAACCTTGCTAATCCTATAAAGGTGATGAATTATAATTACTTTATGAGATATCACTGGAGAAATTCTCCTAATATATTTAGCAGCAATATTTCTTGAGATTGCGTATGTTAAGAGAGTATGAATTTTGCTCTGCTGTAGCTTTAGTTGTTATCTCTATTCTTTGTATCTTTATTCTCCATGCTAACAAAAATGAAGTTGGATTCCAGGAGAGTCCAGCAACCAGAAGTCTGATCATTGGATACACAATCTGAGACTTGCAGCTTTAGGGAACCTGATCCATTTCAGTTTACATCACTTCTCACACATTGCTTGTTATGCCTTTCTTTATTTTAAAAAAAAAAAATTTGACCCCAGTGTACAAAGACTGTACAAGATCGCAGCTTCTGAGTGCTGCAGAAAATATTACAAAGTGTAATGGTGCATGGGAGTGTGGGTTTCTTTGGGAACACCAAGGTCTTTGAGGGATGGGCTGGCTGCTGTTCCCATGGCCGTTTGCAGTGGCACTGGAATGCTGTGAGCTCCGCAGGCTCTGGGGGCAGCGAGGCTGTGCAGGAACAAGGCCTGGCAGCTTCCTCTGCTGTGCTGAGAGGGAAAACCTAATGCCATTGGTGATGCTGGGACATGAGGGAGATTATACAGCACAGGATTATGTACAACCAATAAGAATTAATTTAGTGACTTAGAAGATGGTTTCACTTCTTCAGCAATCTTTTTGATATTTATGTTTTGTCATTTGGGTTTTTTTCTCCTATCTCCTTAGATTTACTCACTTGGTGTAGAACTACTTCAAGCAATTGCTTAAAGGCAGAAAGCAGTTCTTAAGGCAGAACATGATAAAATCTGATATCCCCCCTGAGACTGGGGTTATACTAGTTTTGAGATACTTATTCTGGTCAGCATGTGTGAATTAAGGGAAGGGGAAGCCCCTTAGAGGAGACGCACTCAGTTTTGTCTCCCTCTCTCAGTTTCCGTATGTTTTTGCAAACATCCTTAATTTTGGTATTGTTATTTCTATTCCAGTATACTATGAACAGCTCCATCCCACCAGACCTTTACCTGCTGTCACCCCAGTAAAGTCTTTCCTGTGCTGCTCTGTGGAGAGCTGTGTGTGCTGGCACCAGAGCTTTGAGGAGAGGCAGTGTTGTGTCCCAGTGCACTCGGACCCCTACCAGGGAGACAAGTAAAGCTCCCTCTGAGGTTACAGCTGGGGAAAGGGACAGCTGAGACACAAATTAGTTATTATTCATATTTTATCAAAGCTCAAAAGGCTCTGCCACAGTGAAGTAAGGGCTGCTACTCCATTACCCTCTGCCCATCCTTCACGTGGGGCTACTGATTTCCCATGGCATTATTTTCAGTTTAGAGTCAGGCAGGGACAGCTCCTGCAATGGAGAGGGTGGATTTCAATCACAGAAGGAACTTTAGAACTCTCTGATCCTTTGTGAGCCTTACTTTGTTCCAGAATGGAGTAAGGATGGTGCTCAGCAAGCTCAGCACCACCACATGCCAGACAGATAAATAAACTGCTCCCTCTCATTAGCCTCTGGTGAGGTAAAAAGCAGTCCCACCACCACTGCAAGGTATTACCTGTTGGAATGAAAAAATAGCAACTGTTTATTCTAATTAGTATTAAAGATGTCACAAACCCTACTTCTATGTCTAGATGTGTCAGCCAATGCAGTAAATATTGATAATAATATCAACTGTGCATTTTAAGGTTTACTTGAAAAAGATAAAACACCTATGGAGGGGGTAGAAATGAAAGAGAAATGGGAGCTATTAATCACAAATAGCCACCTAGGCAGTTATATTAATTTAGAAACATCTTCAATTTGCATTTGTACATTTTACAGCTTTTCCCAGCTTTAGATTAGAACTCCAAAAATTTAAGAGATCATTGATGTGATGTCATTTTAGACCTTTGTTGTCACCTCTGCATTCCTGATGCCATGGATTGTGGTTGCCTCTTCAGAACTGCTTTCATTGGATACACCTGTTTATTGCTAGTGAAAAACAAAAGAAAACAAAAACAAAAACAAAACAAAACAAAACAAAAAACAAACAAAAAAAAAAAAAAAAAAAAAAAAAAAAAAAAAAAAAGCCACCTCACCACAAGACAGACCCTGAGGAGCTGCAGTGAATCCTTGGAAAAGAACAGAGCTGGGGAAGGGTTGGAGCACCAGGCTGATGAAGAGCAGCTGAGGGAGCTGGGGGGGCTCAGCCTGCAAAAAAGGAGGCTCAGGAGGGGCCTTTTCACTCTCTCCCATTCCCTGAGAGCAGTCTGCAGCCAGCTGGGGTTGGTTTCTCCTCTCAAGTAACAAGTGATAGGACAAGGGCAAACAGCCTTGAAATGTGCTGGGGAGGTTTAGATTGAATATTGGGGAAAATTTCCTCATTGAAAGGATGGTCAGGTATTGGAAGAGGCTGTCCAGGGCAGTGCACATTCACCACCCCTGGGGGAATTCCAACACACGTGAATGGGGGACCTGGGCACGTGTTAGGAGTGGGCTTGGCAGTGCTCAATGATCTTAGAGATCTTTTCCAACCTGAATGGTTTTACACCATGCTAAACACTTTCTAAACACTTTATTCAGGGAGAAAAGGAGAGAATTTTGGATTTTGATTAAGGGCAAAAAACCCCCACATGTGTGTCTTTATGTATGTATGCGTGTATACATGGCTTTTAAGCCAGTAGGTTATATTAAAAAATAATTTCTGGAGGGGAGGCAATATTTTTAGAATTGTTTTAGAAAAATTGGTATTTCTGTGATTTTCTAGTTGTAGTTTTGCTCAGGAAACCACTGCTCTCAGTGCTATACAAATATTCTAGGGCCCATTTTGTGAAGAAGTACCTCATTCTCACTGCCATTCTGTGAAAAGGATGTTTCTATTTATTTGAAAAAAAAATGCTGCATAATGCACTCCAATGAGTAATCTAAAATAAGTACAGTGATACATTTGAGTTTGCTGAGTATCTTACTGCAAACCAAATTTTAGTGATAACACACATGCCTGTATGACTTTTTTTAGGTTTAAAAATGTAGGTTTATTTACAGTAGAGAAAATACTTTGTTTCCTTTTTGCGTAATGTACGAGTACAACCTGAAAAGATCTGCTTCCAGTAGCAAAAAGACAAAAGTCTATTAGATGAAGAAACACACTGGTGAATTCACAAACATATAAAAGAATTAAAGGTTGTCAATAAGGTTGTAAATTGCTGTTTTCAGGTTGCCCTGATGTTTGCTATGATAACAGCAACAGCAACAACAACAATAATAACAACAGAAACTTTAAAATAATTTTAGTCCAGTTTTAAATCTGAAATTGACTGTTAGATACCTACATTTAATTTTGAATCTTTTTTTTTCCTGAGCGGAAAGATTTGCTGATATGTGCTGATAACAAGCATCATGAAGAGCCTGCTTCATGTCACTAAAAAATTAAAACTGGGAAATTATCTAGGATACTAGGATGGTAGCAACTGATCTAACATAAGATTTTGTTCAAGATAATCAGAAATGTTAATATTTATTTTGTATTAAACAGAAATTGTGGACATTTTTACAGTTGTTATTCCTCCAGATAAGATGTGGCCCTGATTCTGCAAATATTCTTCTAAGTTTAATATGTGTGAGAGAATAAAATGAAACAGAAATGATAACAAAAGAAAACTGCTATATTGCCAATCTTAACAACCATGTGACAATGTGATTTCTGGCACAACAAATAAAAGCATGAATATCTCTAATTTTAAAATTAATATAGATTTTTCTTTCATTTACTTTCTAGATATTCAACTAAAGGGCCCAGTGTCTCTCAGTATTTCCCTTCAGCTACCAAATGCAGAAACTGGAATTACAAGAACCCCCAAGCACACTATATATTCCCTATATCCCACAACATTCCGGAGCTGTTAATAATCCAGTACTGAGGGAGGTGGGTACCCTCAAGACTGCTCCAAGTACCCTTTGCAACACTGACCACCATTCAGGGTGCTCAGGAAGATCCTGCTGTGGCAAGACTGACTGGGAGTGTGGAGAAGAGGGAGCAGCTCATTTCAAACAGCAGATTAAAAAAGCAAAAGCCAAAGATGAAATTGCAAAGAAAACGAAGTACTCAGGAAAATCACCCAGACAAACCACTAAGCATCATTCTCTTCCCTGCCATTTTGTTTCTGTGCATTGGAGCAGCTACCCCAGCAAGCGCTGCAGCATTTGGTAAACAGAGCAGTTGAAAGGTACTTAAGGAAAAGGGGACGAAAAACCCACCACACAGACTCATCAACACATTGTATATGTAGCTCTGCTTTTTCTTTTCCTTTTTAAACAGTGTTTAAGAAAAATATGCTGTTACCATAACAAACTAAAATACTCTCTAAACCTCTTAAGATTTTAGTTTTTGTTTTCAACTATATTGGTTCCAAGTAGGTTTTATTTTTCCTTGCCTACTTTATAAAACCTTCTCTCAACATTAATGGCTTCAGGCAGAAGAAATAAGGGAGAATTATGAGCACAGAAGAGGACTTACAGTGTTGTTCCTTTCTCTTGTGCACTACAGGCAGGCAGGGGTACAGAAGAAACAGGGCATCATGTTTTTGTAGAATATAGTCAGACAGGAATTCCAGCTGGTACTCACTAAGCAAAAGGGAATGTTTTCCTCATCTAAAATAATTGTTTAAATCCCAGCCATACATAGCTATGGAATAATGGGGTCATTAATTTTCCACTAGTTCAGTAAGATGCTGCAGCAAGCTAATGGTTCCATGAGACAGACAGTTTAAAGCATTGATTTTCTGCAAATTGCTCAATCCATAACTAATGAGCAGCTCTACAGATTTTCAGTGAATCAATCCCATCAGAATTTACAGTTTGCGTAAAACCATATTACTCAATCTGTGAACACAGACTGGGTTTTTTTTAATAACCTTCAGCAGCCCTTTCTTGTTGCTGTTTTTCTTAAACTTGTTTTTAATTTCTATTGGTAGATTGGATAAAAATCCCTCTCTTGAGGGTCTGACAGCATGCCTGAAAAAATACACCATCCACGTCTACATAAGCACACATGCATCCCCTGTCAAGTCCTAAATATTTCCTTGCAGAAGACAGTTAATATCCAAAAGGCAGGACGAGATGATAGATGGAATTTAGCCCCTGTAGCACTAAAGCCCTGCCTCAATTTGAAGGTGGATTGTTTTTTTACACCTGTAAAAATGTGAAGCTGTATGGCAACTGGTATTCGGACCCACAGAAGTTATTCTACATAACAAGCTGAAATCTCTCCTGTGTGAAAAAAGTAGCAAAGGCAAAAACATGTATGGATTGAGTGACAGGACTTTTGTCACACATCTGCAGGGTAGAAACAGGAAATTGAGAATTATGCTTGCTAACAGATCAGGTTCTGGATTACTTTATTACTGCATGTGCCAGGAGGTTTGTACCACCTTTCCTCCAGGCTTTGTAAGAAAAGGGTCAGTTCTATCATTATCAATTACTACAAGAAGATCATTTTAGGCGAAACAGTTATAGGCAAGCAGAAGTTCAAATCCTGTTAATGAATTCATAGACTCTGAAAAAACATTGTATTGGTTGTTACAAAAGAGCTGTGGCTGGAGGGCTCTTTGTTAGTAGGGGAGTGTTGAATCATCCCACTCCAACTGCTCTTGCCTAGTGGCATTCTGTTTGTCTCCCTTTTGGACAATCACTTCCTCCTCGTCCTCTTCCTCCTCGTCCTCCTCCTCTTCACTATCATCTGATTCAGCACTGGTTGTGTCTTCCTCTTCATCATCTCTGTCTTCTTCCTCACTCTCCTCTTCCGTCTGGTGTGGCTTTTCATATTTCTACAATACATTTAAAGAAATGAGACAGTAGCAGAAAGGTGCCTTCTTGACAGCCAGAGCTGTCTCAAATGAGCATTTAGAAATGCTAACATGCTGGGCAAATCTGCTTTCCATCATTATGTGATTATTAAGCATCAAATTCATACAAGTTGGTAGCATACATTCAAAAACTACTGCAAGAAGAATGGAATGTCAATAAGCAATCTCTTTGTTAGCCACACTGCCAAAATTTAAACCTTCAACATCAGCTTCTTTGAACTGCTGATGATTTCCCCTCCTTTTAGTGTATAAATGCTTACATGAAAAAGTTAAAATCAAAGCAACTATATCATCTTGGGTACCTACAAACAGACATGGATGAAGTGGAAGTGAGTGATGCTGTACCTGAAGTTCTTCACCATCCTCTTTAATAATTATACATGACAACAAATCTGAAGTTCTCAATTATATCTGATCAAGGTGTGCAGAGCTGAGAAGTGGCCTGGGGTCTTGAGTGTACTCACACAAAGCTGAACAACTGGACCCTGAAAGATGCTCAAACCCACTGCCAGCGCAGGCAGTGGCTCCTGGCAGTGCCAGGGTGCACTGCTGTGCCCCAGTTAAGTACCTCCATGGGGTTGACAGTGATGGTGAGAGCAGAGTCATCCCAGTCCATCTCATTCTCCTTGGTTCCCTCATGGCCCAGGGAGCCGTGCTGACGGGCTGAGCGGAGCCGGAACACACCCAGTGTCACCACCAACACCAGGATGCTCACACAGATGATGATAACGATCGTGGCCACGCTGGGAACCACTGGGACAAAGGGCGGCAAAGGGAATGCAGTTACATTTGTGGAACAAGTCATCTAAACCCCACTAACCTTGTTCAGTTTCAACCCACAGCACCCCCTCCTTTGGACTGAGAATCAGGACAGATACTTGTGCCATGTGCCTGGGATGATGGAAAGTGTTGACCAGTGCCCATCCACTAAGGTGGAGCACACACAAATGGTGTTCACAGATATCTTATCCCAAGTACGATAAATCCTAACTAAAAAGTGAGCATGCTCACCTTTGCTTTTTGAGCCACTTAACTACAGAAGACAGGTAGTTAATAAGTGCAGAATCAAATAGTTTTTGCAGTAAAATTCTGTTATCTCACTTGCATGTTGACCCCTTCTGATCACAGCTGAGGCCTCAACCTTACTTGAGACAAAATGTACATCTCAAAGCTTATATTTTCAAAGGTTTCAGATGCTTGTGATTTGAATCTCCAGCTCCCAGAAATCAATGCATTGCCACCCTATTTGTCTGTGTTACAGCCTTCCTGGGAGACTCTTGAGGACTCAAGACATTTTCCCCCATTGTTTGGTTGTACTCTGAGAGGCCCCTGTCTCCACTTAGTCACAGGAAGAAGTCTCCCTAAACGACCACATGTAATCAGCTCCATAATTAGGTTAGTGGAGAAATGCTGCCACTTTCTATGTACCTCGAGGTGCTGCAGTTCCAGGAGCATGGGATAACCCAGTCCATAACCCATTTTGCTGCCTTGCCCTGCCTATAAGAATGTAAGTCTGAAATCAAAACAGCATTTAGGAACAAAAAAAACTAGTTTGCAATAGTTTATCCATTAAACGTTCAGTTTCATTTTAGTGAAGTGTCTCTACAATGTAAGGAAAAATACAGTAATTTTCTAAGCATCTCTGTATGTAGCTACTTACAACTGCCTACACTTTACATCAGCTTTACTTCTTTACATATGTATCATTCAGCTAAAAAGATTTCAGAATTCAACTTTCAAACAGGTATCTTTGCCCTGCATTTAACTTCACTGAAAAGGTTTCAGATTTGGGTATATATTTTAACTCAGATAGCCTAAAAATTAATTAAAAATATATCCTAAATATTTTTTAACTGTGGGGGTCAGAACACAAAACCATTAATGAAGACTTTAAAAAAGGATACCACGTTTTAATTTAAAATTACATTCTTGGACATAATAGCATTCAGAGTTACCTTCTTTCACACCTGTGATCTCTGAGAGGTCTTAGAAGCTGAAACAATGGACCTCGGGGCTTTAATCTGTGGAGTAGGTTGACCCACAAGGGAAACACTGACACACCGGAATCATTGTGAGCAGTCTCTGGGAAGGTGTCACATACCTGAGCTGTGAACTGCACTTACACTCCCCTCAGGGTGCTGAACAGATTGGAGAAATTGGGGCTGGAATATCATGTGATTTACATGGTCCATGAAGTTCGAGTTGGAACTGTGTAGAATATTAACCTGGGAGAAGAGAAAAATAAGAGACCAGATACTAAAAAGTGTTTTACACTCCACTCCATATATTACATTGGACTATGAAGTTGATTAGCAGATAGGGACACTACTTCATAGATAGTAACGACCAAATTAACTCTTTTTTTCATGCCAGTGGAAAATACACAGCTTTATATATTTCTAATTTGTAGCATGAAAAATGCATTCTAACTTTTCTGGCTGTTGACTCTGAAGTGGCACATAACAGGACTCTTTTAATTTACCTGTTTGGATAAGTAGTGACTTTTTCTTCTCTCTATATTAATCAGCTTTTAGGAGTTACCTAAACATTATGAAGTAACTGTTAATTTTATCAACAATTATTAAGTTGTTAATTGTCTTTGTAAACACTTATTAATTTTGACCATATTGCTAAGTAGGTCCTGCAGTTTCCTGGAGTTGTTACCTGGGCTCTAAGCCTCGGTGATGGGTTGGAAAACATGACTCAGTCATTGCTCACCTCCAAGCTGAACTCATTGCTCACCTCCAGGTTGAATTCATTGCTGGTGTAACGCCCGTTGAGCTCGGAGCACTTGACCCTGAACTTCCTGCCTGAGGTGGCCGAGGTGCCCCAGTTGCGGTAGCGGAGCTGCCGCAGCACCTGCTCGTAGCTGAACATGCTGTCCACACCTGCGGAGTGGGAGGGCAGGGACAGCTCTGGGACAGGCAAGGGAACACTGCTCTGGCAATACACAACAAATCAACTGCTCACAGAACACACGGAACTCGGCAGAATGGTCTGGAAATGGCAGGGCATCAAATGTTCCCTGACACTCGACTGTGAGGATAGTTTTCAGAAATGAATGTAGGTCCCTAATGGAGAGGGTAAATACAACAACAGTAGTGCAGAATATATTACTTAGTGATGAGAAAAAGATGGCCAATGTCCCAGCATTGTACAGGAACACTGAGGAACCCCCTCACTCCCACGTTCCACTGTGATGGTCCATAAGAACCTCACATTTAAAGAAAGCATGGATGCCATTTTCCTTACTCAGGGAGTAGCAGGAGGGATGCTGAGAATCCAAAGGGCAAACACAGCACATCCAGAGATCAAGAAGCAGCTGTGTTTTTTAAGATACAGTCACCCTTGGGATATTTTCATGGCTAGAAAATCACAGATTCCTATCCACTTTCTTACATATTTGAGCTTTCATTCCAATATATAACTGATGTGACAAAATACAGGAAAACCAAATTTCCTGAACTTACCATAGATTGAATATCCTGCAGTGGAATTTGTGGCATCTAGATGTTTTCCTTGAAGCTCCCCATGATCTAGTTCTAAACACTCTTGTTCAGGGTCTAGTTCTGCACCAATGACCAAAACATCACAGAAATCCAAGTTGTGGAGCATTTCCTCTACTACCACTTTTTTATTGGCTGTGAACCCATGGCATGGGGCATGAAAAAAAAGATGGAAATGAAGATAAATGATCACAGAACAGCTCAGTCATTTTATGTGCTTTGCATTAGGGCTTTCAATTTTTGCCAAGATGGCTGAACTGTTTTTGCTGATATTAAATCCAGCACACTTGAAGCAAATCAAGAGAAGTGTCCAGTCTGCACACGTGCAGTGATGATGAAGGCCTACAAACACCCAGTGAGATAAATAGAAAATATATTGCCCTGTAGTATAAAGCACCCAAGAACATTACTGGAAGTAGAAAACTGAAATATGATCTTGGAAATAAATTAATGTAAAAAATTCCAGGTTTCAGTGCTGAATTGATACCTGCTTTCTCAAGGAAAACCAGACTGGAAAAATACACATCCAACATATCTATGCTTGGATGATTCTCTCAGTTACTCTATGCCCCATAAACAATTCACATTACAAAGACCTGGCCGTCTATCCAAGAGCAGGGCATTATTATAAACAGCAAGATCCTGTGCTGTGTGACTTAAAGAAATTAAGTTATAAACTGACTGTCCTTCAAGATGTACAAGTAAAAAAATAATTCTGTTACTGGAAAAAGAGTAGAATATCAAATCAATATTTAAATTCTCTGATCAACTTAGCACAGAGTGTGTGGCAAACCTGCTTAAGCAGCTCCCTGAAGGCACAGACACTGCAAGTCTGGAACTTCCTGCCCATTTTGCAAACTTGATATTAGAGGGTGTATTGGGAAGGAGGGCACATCCAGGAAAGCCTTACACCCTAGACTGCCAACTCCTGGTGTGGTGAATTTGGGTACCTAAGCTCTAAGTTACAGCTGTAACATAGGCAAAAATGCAGACCAAGTCAAATTTGTGGTCTTCAGATAATCCATGCCCATAAACTTGCACACCATTACCCATTTTCTCTTCTTCAGAGATATACATCTAGTTGCTGCTTATTCTAGTCCAACAAACAGTGTTTAGAATGATTCCTCAAATTACTAGACATTTCATCTGCCTTGCACAAAAACATTCAAAAGGAAGATTCCTTTATAGACAATAATTTTAAAATTGATTTATACTTTTGAACATTCACACAGTGTTGAATAATGATACACACATTGCTTAGCATTAGAATAAACAGTCATCATTGCAAATAAATATTTTAAAAGGATTATATATACATTTTATAGGGGGGAAACTGAGGCATGAGATTACTTTCTCAAGTATCACTCACAAGCTAGTATCAGAGCTGGAAACATAAGAGCAGACTAAAACTTCAACTTTTGTTCAATTACTGCTTTTCTACCTATCAGCACAATTAACAAAATTCTGTTACAAGTAGAGGCATTCTAATGAAAATGCCCTACACAACAGAATATGAAAGGAAGAGTAGAAAGGAATTATTCTAAAGTATACTAAAGGGATACCACATGGAAAATCTGCTTTTTTTGAACCACCTTCTGATCTGCCACCATTTAACACATTTTTCAATGTGTTGAATTGAATTTCTTCAGTACAGCATTACTGTGGCCTAATTAATCTGGGTGAAGTGACTTCTTTTGCATTATTTGTTTGCAGCATCCTTTAAAAAATATGAGGAGACGTTACAATATTAGTAATCATATTTAAAAGAAAGACACAAACCTCTGTCATGTTCTCTTAAGTCCACTGAATGCTCCATTTTAGTGACTGTGCTGACAATCCTGATGTCAGGTAACAAAATAACACCTCTTTCACTTTCAAACTGTGCAGCTGGTCTAGCAAAATGGTCCATCCCAGTTATGGTAATCTTGGGCTCATTGGCCTGAAATACCATTACATACGCATCTATATCTGGGATACTAATGCAGACATCTTCACCAAAACATCTGAAAAGATACATCGGTCATTAACTGCATGTAACACATTGTACATGAGAGGAGCGTGGCACTGGCAGTGCCCCAAACCAAGCCCATGGCTCTCGGGTTGGTCCAGTTCATCCTCAGGCACTGCCACACATGAGAACGTACTCCCGTACCACTGTGCAAACAGGCCAGCTCTGGCCCGCCCCTCCCTTCCCACCTTCACAGGTACTCATTCTGAGAGACAAACTCAGTCTTTCCTATGGTCACTATCAGAAAATTTTAATGTTTTAACTGACATTTAACAGAGCAGTAAAGGTTTAAAAAAGTTAACTAGATAACAACTAACTTTAGCAAACCTAACATTAAATTCAGAAAGTGGTATACATGAATAGCATGCATATAGCCAGTGAATACAACACGGTTATCCTGTCATGTGTGATTAATAAAAGGACCTAAATTTCCATTTAAATTGGTCCCATTATGAACTCTTTTTGGGGCCCTCCAATATTTGCAGTGGACAGAAGGTGCCTGTACTTCCATTTTCACCCGAATCAGCAGTGTGCAGGAAGTGAATCTCCTGACAAGCTCTTCCTCATTTCATGCTGGCACACGAGCTGGGCCAGCCCTGGGATGTGCAAGGTGGGCTGGTTCCAGTGGGACCACCTTTGGAGCTGTTCTTGCAGCCGGGAGCTCACCCACAGCATGGCCCTGGCACTTGGGAACAGCTGTGCTCCCAGCAGGTGAGAGTGTTAGAACTGGCTTTGTTTTCCCTTCCAAAGCCCTGCTTTCCCTTCACTGGACAGAGCAGTACCCAGGGGAGCCCAGGAGAGGCTGTGGGCAGCTCTGAACATCACTGTGCAGCTGCTGTCACCGTGCTGCATGGAGAGGGACGGACACAGACCCTGTTCAGCCTCCACCAGTGCTCCAGGGACAGCACAGACAGCAGGGACAGACACACACAGGCTGCTTCAGGCACACCTACACATACTGCTCTTGCAGATATGTCCTCTGTTTGATGGAACAGCCTTGCATTAAAAAGTCATGGCTCTGGCTATCTCAGAAGGAGCCACAAATGTTTAAAATTAAAAGTAAATAAGATTGCAGTAAATGCACTGTTCAGTCCAGACTGTATGCCCCAAAACTATAAAGAGAATGCAAGTACATTACACTAATAAGAAACGCTTCTTAAGAAGGTAACATCAAGAGTAATCCACCATGTAAATTGGCATAAAAGTAAATTAAATTAGTCCTTTAAAGTTCAATAACAAAGCAGTATGATTTATCAATTTAATTTAGCCAAAATTATTCTTTTTACATGGCCAAAGAGAAAAGTAATTCATTAAAAATGTTCCTAATCTGTTCAATTCAGCTGAAGTATAACTTACTGGACTTTAGATGAGACTTTGAGACGTCGTACGCCTGCAGTAGGAAACTGTCTGGAGTTGATGTATGAGACCTTTTGGAGGGCTTGATTTATATTCTCAATGTCATCTCCTTCCATGACAACAACTGACTGGGAAGGGTTGAAGTGATACTAGAAGAAATACAAATAATTAGTATTTAAGTGACCAGGTACAGAGTACAAAATAATATATATTTTTAAGGAATGTTGCACAGACGTAAGTAAAAATTTTAATGATATAAGAAAAAAAAATCTCAGTAGCTATCATTGGCTGAATCCACATGTTGTTCTCTGTAACGTGTACTTGTATCAGTCACCTAAATGACTATTGTTATAATTAATTTTGTAGTAAATTAATCCAGATTTGCTGTTCTTTTCCCAGCCTTATCAACCTTGCTGATACAATTTCTGCAGCAATTTCCAATGCTATTTATTTTTGAACTCTGTAGAGGTTCAAAACCTTAACTTACCACCACGATTATTATTTCTATGTAATCTTTTTAGGTTAAACACATTCCCCATATAAAAGCATTGCCTTTTGAGCCAGCCTAGTGTGCAGAAGCATATTTTTTGGCTACTTTCTGTTGTGGTTTTATCCTGGGCTACCTTTCTGAGATATATTTCAACATGAATGAACAAAACAGTTACAACATTTGCCTCCTACATCTTCATTAATGTCAGACACACTAAAGGGGACTCTCCATCCTGTCTGATGATCAATAGGGGTGTCATGATTTAAGATGGAGCTGCTCACTTGGGCCAGCAAACCCGGCAAAATCACTGCCTGTTCTTGCAGCCCCGAGCCTTCTGTACTCCATTGCACTGAACACAGATCTGTCTTGCTGACCAAAAAATTTTGTCACTGTTGTGACATAACCAATGACTGATTTTTACCTTCACCATAATTAATCCTAATTCCATGTTTTATCTGTAAATTGTTTCAGTAAACCATCTGCATTGCTGAGGAAACCAGCATCACCCACTTGACATTGTACCCTCCTGTTGCAAGCAACGAACAAAAATGCACCTTTCTCTCCTGGACAGGCTTTCCCCAAAGCTGGGCATTGATTATGTGATGTTCTGTTAAAATACAGACAGTGGCTGCCTACACTTCCTTACAGCCAGAAAGGTTAAAAAGCAAAACACAGACTGTGAAGAACAGGAGGAAGTGCAGGGTCCTTTGTCAAACAGAACATGGAGGACAGGGTTTAAAGCTTGTGCAGGAAGATCACAACACACTGAAGGGTATTTTTTAATAAAGAGGAGGACTAACACGAATCTCAGCCTGCACATACTTCTTTTTCCTCTCTTTAAGCTAGCAACAGTAGAAAATAAAATTAGTAAAAGGAGACCAGCCAGCCAGTTAATAGCTCAGCTGCCAAAACAGCTGGAATGCTGCCAAAGGGACCAGAGAAAGGCCCAGTCTGAGCCATTTTTTTCTTTCTCATTAAAAAAAGCTAAAATTAGCAACAGTTTAGACAGTGTCTCAGAGAGCTGTTACAGATATTGAAAATTAGGCTGCAGCCCAAAAACAGTCCAATGCTATCATCTCAGAAACTGCTGCTACACTGCTCTTTCCTAGGTGGTTAAAGCGTGAATCTCCATGGTCCAAAGTGCCCACAACTCCTTCCAGTATCAGTCTGCCAACACTGAATCTGCAGAGCGCCACATAAACAGTCCCATGCAACCCATCATCTATGCTGGGATCAGGTGTGTTTGTTTTTGACACCACAAGACCTTTCTCTCTCATTTTCTCTTCAAGGTCAGGCAACTGTTCTGCTTTCAGCTGAGCTTCCTTCTGTCAGCCCCCCAAAGAAACCCTTCCACAATCTCTCTCTGGTTGCTCCTTTCATTTTTGCCTCCTTCTGTTGCTCTCACTGTTGGCTTGCTGAGGCAGTAAAAGCAACATCAGTAACTTTAAAAACCCCACTACGCCTCATCTGTATTTCAGAAAATGAAGATGTTTGAAGGTTTGCAAAAGCATGAAAAGGCAGAAAACAATCTCTTGTCTTCCTTTTTCCTTCTGCACTGCCAGTACAGTGAGGAAGACAGTGACAAATGCTGAAGCAGCAATGTGTGGTAGAAGAGGGATTTTCCCAAGCCCATGAAACGGGTGGCTCAAATGTTTTCAGGTTTCAGAGGGCAACAACACGGGAGGAATTGCTATGCTCTTAGGCACCATGGACCAAGTACACCGTACTTTAGTTAATGGAAAATCCCAGCAAAGAACTTACTATTAGACATACACACGTGGGTTCCAGAAATCCCTACCTGCTCCTTGTGTGCACTACCTTTTAAAAACAGCTTTAACTGACCCCTGTGTCCCGTTGCTGTGAGAAGCAGCAATATGAAATTCTTAATGATGTCCTTGGTAGGATGATAAAATAATTCTTTGGGGTCTTTCCTCATATGTAAAAGTTAGAGCTAGCAAAATTCCTCCTTACCTTTGCACTTTCAGTTTTCATTTTTACACTTGTTTTCACAAAATGTGTCAGTTATACTACACCACTGCAGCCTATCATCACCCAGACAGGCATTGGGTGCATTTTAGGTCAGCCTGTACAACAGAAAGGTTTGGCTAATAAAATGCTGTCCATGACACTCCCACTGCTTATTCCAGATGAAGTGTTACAGCACCATCCTCCTGCCCCTCTGAAAACCCCAGAACAAAACACCCCTGTTCAGTTTCTCAGGATGCATTGCCTGCGCCCACAGGAACTTCCTGGGCTGGAATGGAAGCTCAGCTCCTTTGGAAGTGGTATTTGTGTGCTGGGAAACAGCTTCACAAATTCATTTACACTGAGCACAGGAACTCTGTCACCAAATAATGGTGCCAGTAAAGGAAAACTGACAATGCAGCTCATGTGAGCATTGGAATAGCCAAGATCCTACATATCCATCCAAAGAATTTCAGAATTATCTGAATGAATGCAAACCCATCTAGCCACTAGGTCAACTGAAACAGGATTTCCCTGTGTGTTGTTCTCCAATCTTAGAAAAAGCTCTACATCACCAGCAGTCATATGAAGATGGATAATGACTTATATTCAAATCTAAAAATATAATTTCTTGACTTTAAGGTTTTTTTGTGTTCGATTTTCATGTACCATGAAGTTTTCTTCTTTGAACACACTGACTTTTAGAATGGTATTGCATTAGTACTTATGTATTCCACTGCTTTAAAGCTACTTGAGATCAAAACTCAATAAATCTTTGGAATTATGTCTGTTTCTACAGAAGTAACATAATAAGCATGAAAATACAAACTGGCAATTCATACAGACTCTGAAGTATCAGCAGTGCCTTACTTTCTGATCATCTAGCTCTGCAATAATGGAAACATTTTTCTTTGCAGCATCGCAGCTCTTTTACGGTCCTGTTTTTTCTTTGCATGATTTTACGGGAAATTACATTTCTTCTGGGAGTACATTTGCACTGTGTGTACTCTACCTTGGGCTCTCCATTTCATAAATCAGATCTAAATTTTTATCAAAGATGATGTCAGTTCATCCCTCACCTTTATTCCTTGGCCAAGACTCTCAAGAGAATTAATATCGAGACCTTCCTTGCAGGCCTGCAAACAGGAAATCACTTTCTGACTCTCAATTTTCCCTGGCCGTATTGTCAGACTGGCCAGGCTGCCATGGAAATACTGAGCAAACCTGGGCTTGGTGACTTCACCTCCTGCAAAAAAGAGGATGCAAAATGGTTATTGGTACCAACACATAAGCTGCATAAGTAATAAATCACTTTATGTTTTAACACGTTTAAAACATCTCTATCCATCTCAGCCAAGTGTATTTGAGATCCCATTTATTGTGGTACAGTGGAATATCTTTGTGGGTTGTTGGGTGGTGTCTGGTAGCAGGCTGTCTTTAAGATTCTTGATTTTCCAGGATTGTATTCAGGTGTTTATAAAGCTGAGACAGCAAACCCAGAGATGAAACATGGCTTCCCAAATGTATACAAGGAAGCAGATGATTTAAAAAAATGATCTTACTCAAGTACTCAAACACTAATATAATAAATGTTAAAGTCCAATATTTATTTATAAAAAACCAGTATTTGCAAGTGTTCCATGACAAGATCAGCTACCTCTGCCTTTGTCCTCCCAAGAACACAGTACCAGATGAGCTGAGAGTGGTGGCTCTGTGTATACCGTCTGCCACACTCTCTGGGCTGTGTCTGAGGACACGCTGGGAATTCCTGCAGTGAGCAGGAACCTGTGCACAGCCCCTCTCTGGGAGGCTGGGAGTGCTCTCCCTGACCCAGGGTGCATCATTTGGTGCCAGGTCTGGTCCTGTCACTCTGTGTTGCCCCAGGCCCTGCAGACACGCTCACTCGATTTGGTTTCACTCTAGGTAGCTCCAAAGGAAGACTGATCTTTAGGAGCTGTCAATAAAACGTGATTACAGACTGCCTGCTCCAGTGATCATGGCATCTCAATTACTCTTGGGACAGTTAGTGATTTACTCATCCTCCTTTAGGAGAATTTTTAGAACTTGTCTTTCCTGCCTACCTGGAGCCTGCGGGGACCAAGGAAGTCACACAACAGGGAGCCAGGCACACTAACTGGATTAGCAGTTGATAAGCTGTTGATAAGGTGTTGCAATTGGTAGATAACTCATCTCTACAGTGTTTGTACCTTTAGTGGCAAACAACTTGGTTTTGGCAGGCAAGATAGCGCAAATTTGAACTTTAACTTGTGTGTGGATTGGAGCTGGATAGGGATGAAGTGGCAGATTTTCTTTAGGCTGCTGTTGTTACCTAAAACCCTGAAAACCCTCACTTCTGGTCTCTCCAGGATGAGCATTATGAAGAAGTCTCAAGCTATTTTATATAGTGAAGAAAATACACACTGGTGTACTGGCAGGACAGGGATGTCCAAGCTGTTTCTTCAGAAAGTAGGAAGGTTTTTATTGTTTGTTGGTTTGGTTCGGTTTTTTTGTGGTTTTGTTGGTTTGGTTTTGTTTTTGTTTTTGTTTTTTTGGTTTTTTTTAACATTACAGCACACACTTCCTCTCTTATTAACCCAAAGAAAGGTTCCCAAGGGGACATTATTCTTGTCCACTCTTACTCATTTGTTCATTACACAGGAAATTTCCTCTGGGCAGATTTTTTTTGAGATTTCCTACAAACTTTCACATATACAGCAGCTAAAGTTAAACCTTTCTGATACTTACTAAGACAATTATTTGGTAATTATTTGGTAACTCAATAGTGCATTATGGGGACATTGGCTTTTCAGCCAAAATGCTGTTATATTTATCTGCTTACATTGTCTTTAAAAGTACATATACAAGAGTATTGTAACTGGACAGAAAAAGGTATGCTGAATTTAAAAAAAAAAAAAGAAAAAAGCAAACATCTCCTTCAAAAGGAGACAAAATCATTTAAGAGCTTACAGAAGAAGGAATCACATTTTGTTTGAGGCTTCACGTTCTTATATCACTACAGAACTGTGAAGACAGCAAGTTCCAAGGCTAAAATACCAACACTAATCCTGGGGCTTTGAAATTTAGAAATGTATAGAAAGTCTGCTAGCAGGTCTTAATAATTCTGAGGAGATGCAAAATAAGAAGCAGGCTCAGATCAGTGAATGTACTTTAGTGTGAAATACACTCATTAAAATGTATATAAAAGATCAGACAGGAAGCCAGAACAAAGAATTCAGTGCTGTGGCTTTGCCTGACAGAAACAAGCAGAATTAACTACAGCATCCATGAACAGATACTGGATGTTCTTCCACTTTGGACTAGTTCTTCTCTGGTATTCTTGACAAAGTACTTACATTGCTAGCTCATTAGCAGTGATACAGTATTTGCCTATAAATCATTAAATATGCAGGGTGTTCACTGTGCCCAAGCCACACTTTTAAAAAATGCGGGTTCACGAGCAGGTATTACTATCTTGGAGGTGTATAATTCTTGTTTAAAGCCATCTGTCCAGCCACCAACATAAAAGCATGGAAGGGAATATGAATGTTTCCAGGAATAAGCTTTTAAAATATTCTGAAAGTACAGACAGTACAAAAACATTGAGCATTTAAAGAACAAGGCTTACACACCTTCTTCACAGGAATAAGGAGGTGTTTGTGCAGGTGCAGAGACCGGGACTGGACTGTAAAGGAGGTAATGTAATGACCTTGTGCCCCGGTCGCGGGAGGCGGTCGGGGCACGCGTCGGGAGCGGCCGTGCCCTGTCTCTGCCGCCGGCGGGCAGCGGCACGGTTCGGCTCAGAACGCGGGTTCAGCGCCTAAAGGATGCGTGGCCAAGGAAATAAAGAAGGGCCCGGTGCTTGCTTTTCCCAGCTGCTTTTATTTCTCTCCCGCGCGGGGATGCGCTGTCGGTGGCGCCGCTCGGTCCGGCAGCGCGCGCGGAAAATCGGGGAGGAGGTCAGAAGCCAAGGCGGGAAAGACAAACCAATAGTAAAGAGAAAAGACTATAACTGACAGAGAATTCTCTAGGCTAGGGGCGGGATTTTGGGGGACAGACAGAAATTACTCCAAGTGCCACAGGCTAGACAAGAGGCAAACATAGACTAAACATGTTCAAACTGCCATCCCAACCAAACAGCCAGAGACCAAATACACCCAAAGCCCGCTACAAAGGAGCCCCAAACAGCTTCACAAACCCCCCCCAAAGCCCCACTGCTACAATGTAATATTTGCACGGGAGAGGCTATCAACTGTTATTTAAACAAAAATCCCCAAGTATTTAAAGAAACTGTGAGTGAAAAATAGCTGGGTGTAGCCAGTGTCATTCTTTGTGAGTAGAGAAAATCTGCAGAATCATGGCCATGGTGATGACAGGGTGATCCAGGCTGAGACAATGCATGTGCACAACTAAGAGCAGACTCTGCAGGGACATGGAGGGGTGAGGCACTCTGTCCCCAGCCCCAGGATAAATACAGCTGTACCTAATCTATTCTTGAGAATATTGCCTGAGCTTTCTGAACACTTCTGAAGATAGAGGCTCCCCAAGCAATCCGCTCCATCGACCACTGACCCTTGAGGGGGATGTTTATTCCCAGCTGGAAACGTGAGCAGTCAAAATACATCTGTGTAATTTTCCTTTGCCAGCCTAAACAAGGACTTCTCTTTACATCTTCCACCTAACACTGTAGACTATGAACATCCCTGTTGTCCTTCCTGGAACTTATCTTGCTGAAGTACTAACCCTAGTGTAGTGTTCTTGTCACTGTATGTGTAAAATAGGATGTCCCTGTTCATCCAGGGCACTGAGAACACCAGCACCAACACTTTTAATCACATGAAAAAAACAAGAACGCTTAAAGAGAGAATACTATCTTATACCAGATTGCTAAATAAGCCTTCCATAAGCAACTTTTACCAGTGTTAAAGACAAAATTATATACCTCCCAATTCTGAACTTGAAGGTGAACAGAAGTAATTTTATCTGACTCTTCTTACAATTGCTTGTAATTGAAATATGCTGTCATTTTGATATTCTTCTGTCTCAGCATTTCAGAATCTTCTAAGCTCAGTGGGATATGTTAGCTGCTGATGTTCCCATTGCCAAAAATTATTAGATTGCAAATAGACAAAATCAAATGCAATAAAACTGGGAAGCAAAACCCAAAACTCTCACTAAAATTAAAGGAATGGCCTAAAGCCAGTTTCCTACAAATCCTGCTTTCTAGCTTTGATGAAATGCTTTATTCATATTTGGGTCAACTCTATTGGTGTGTTTGAAAGCTGTTTCCTTCTGCAATCTGATATTCTTTGAGTATTTGACTTCAGCTTCTCAGTGGGTGGAAATTTAGCCCAGGACGGCCAATCTCCAAATCCTAGTCACTCTAAAATTCTGAGCTCCCAAGACTAGATGAGTATAAATATATTTAATCCAGAATGAACATGGTAATTCCATTGCATGTTTAAGCACAATGGATAACTGTACCTAATGCTGATAGTAACATTTTATAGAATATTATCCAAATTCTTCTAAATACTGATTTTTAAAATAGAGATCCTTTGACCCTGAGCAGGATTCATTTCATGCTCCCCATGCAGCTGACAGGCAGCTCAGAGTCAGTGGCTTCGCTGGGCAGGAGGATGCTCAGTTCCACTGCCTGGACTTGACTCAGCACTGGTGTTACCACCTACTAAGAAACAACTGAGAAAAGACATGAGCTGCTCCCAACAGCCCTTACTGCTTTAAGGCATTTTGGGTTCTTGGTTCTGGCACCAAAGTGAGCCTAAGCAACAACCTTTTTGGGATAATGAAGAAGACCTAAGTAGATTACACAGAGAACGAAGTGGAGTTCCAGTGACGATAGTCAAGTATATGAAAATTTGCAATAGCTCTGTAACACAGCACCTCCAGTTTCTCTTCAAAGCTCAGGATAGCCAGTTAACTTGGATTGCCTCAGCAAGGTTCATGGGATTTCTTTGCTGTCAGGGTCTTTTTGCCCTTTCCTACAAGTGAAACACTGCTCAGATACAGCTCATGTCCAAGAAGATGTTGGTGAATTCTGAAAGAATGCAAAAACCTAGTCCTCACCTGTGTTGTGTCTTGTGTTTCACTCAGCACTACGTTTATTGATTGCTATGGATTAATATGCTGTGAATGTTAATTCTTGGGGGATGGTTAAGTAGTTAAGGCTGATGAATGATAGGACCAAGAGAGAAAAACAGAAGCTTCCCTGCTGTCAGGGAATTAAGT